GGCCTCCCGCCGTCCGCGTCCCCGTCCCCGTCCCCATCCCCTCCTCCCTGATGGCGGGGAGAGACACTTTCAGGAACCCCAGGGGGCCCCCACTGTGCTGGTGGGCAGCGGAGGACAGAGGAATTTGTCCATTTCCCTCCTCTGGTGGCCCCAACCTAGACCCACGGTTGCCCGGTAGCCCTGGCTGCAGAGGCCTGGCTCAGGCCCCCCTCTGCCATGGCCTTGCCTCTGCCTTGTACAGCAGGATGGTTACAGCCACCTCGGGGATGTGTCACCCAGAACCTTGGGATGCAGAGCCTGAAAGCTAGCCAGGTCCTGGGGAGAAAACAGGGTGGGAAAAGGGAAAAGAGGCCGTTACTCGTTACTTGCATCAGCTCACGAGCCTTGTGCCTGCAGGGAATATCTTGTCAACCTAGAAGAGCAGTGCCTGCACCCAGGCAATGCACCAGCAGCCTCAGCCTCCCAGGCCATGCAGTAGGCTTGAGAGTTCTGGCTGATGTCTCCCTGCCTTTCTGACTGGCTCTCCAAATTTCAGCTGCTGCTCTTGCTCCTACAGAGCCTCACATCCTGTGGTCTTCTGCATCAACCCCAATAGCTTTTGTCAAATATTGGTAGATGCTTGGCATCTGATTTGTCTTAACGGATAAGAGAAACGTATCAAATAAGGACGTACGAGTGGTTGTAGAGTCAGACAGTGCTGCAGGCTGGTCTCTGGCAGTGGCAAGTCCCTGGGGAGGTCACCAGTAATGAGCAGAATAAGGACAAGAACAATATAGCAATATAGCAACATAGCAATATAAGTCTTGAATAATCTCTCACCTGCAAGGTGTCCCTGAATTGAGACCTCCCAGGGGAAACTGGTCTTCCAGGTGGCTGGTCTGGAAGTAAGTACTGACCCATCAATGAGATCAAGGCTTATTCAGTCCTAGATTGCAATCAACAAATTTTGCAATGTCTAGATCCAAAAAGTTTCTTGAAATTCCTGGGTGAGTTGCGATATCTTGGACTACTTCTCCTAGGCTTGTTGACAGAGGCACAGCAAACTCCTAAGTAAGGGCACATGTCATGGGTATACCAATGGACTCCTCTGGAGCTACTGAAACTGGACAGAATGAGCAAAAATGCCCGCAATTTAAGCAGAATACACAGGGTCATTGCAAATCTTGAGATGCTGCTGCATTGTTGGTCCTCAAACAGCTGTCCACAACACAAAGGAAATACATGATTTGATGCAGAATAATAAAAGCAGGTGGCATTGGCCAAGGAAACTCTGAAATGTGTTATTTCTCTTCAAATCTTTTAGGCAATAGTACCCGGGAAGAAACTGTTGGAGCGATTTGCAGTGGAAATATCTTGTGGATTTTCAAACCTATTCTGAAAACCTTTAAGGCAACAGCCAGGTCACCCCACTCTGGGACAAGACTGATCCTTGCAAGAGATCAGGTTATGTGGCAGAGTGAGGATGTCTCTTCTGGGGACATGTGGATAAGCTACTCAACCTGATGAAGTGCTGGACCCTTGTACCCAGTGGCCAAAGCCAACTGAGGCAATGACTTGAAGCAAAAGTCAAAAACTTGGGGTCAAGTCAGACAAAAATTAATAACCAAAGACTTCATGAGGACAAGGACAATACTCAATTTAACTAGAGCGAGGGTGAAGATCAGAATGTCAGAATAACCCAGAAAGGCACCGAGCACTATCTAGGAAGCAGAGTCCAGGCAAGAGCAGGACTGGAGTAGGACGAGTGCTGGGAAGTGCGGAAGACTAGGGCACAGCAGGAGCTGCTGGTGCAAAGGCAAGGATCTGGGCAGAACAAGAGCAGATCAAAAGATGGAACAGAAGAGAAAGGAGGAGAGAGAAACTTTTCCTAAAGTCCTGTCTGAGAGACGCACATCATCAACCAGCTCACAAGCTCTAACCTAACTGTAGCTGCCTAAAGGGCTGGGAGCCGAGCCAAGTCATATCAAGAATTCCTCTGACATCCAGGAAAAGTCATTCACAATCCAGGACACTTTGCATACGTTTCTTTCTAGGTAACTTTTAATGCCAATGAAGGCCAGCAACAGCCAGCCAAAAAACCTCCAGCAGATACCTGCCAAGGCACAGTGTCATGATACGCTGCCTTTATAGCAACACCCATTCTCGCTATTCCACCCGTTTCTTCCCACTCCTACCACTCTGCCGCACTGATGACACTAACACAGCAGCAGTTTGCTGTCTTTGAACTGGAGAAATGATCAGATAGAGAAAAGATTTTTAAATGCTGGACCAGTTCCCTGGTTTGATTCACAACATAACCACAAACATTGATATTACCACAACTGAGGAAGTAGCACAGGGGTAAGTAGATTCCTACGGGCAGGGCAGGAATACTATAAACCAGTGTTGTCATCAGAGCTGACATACCATCAGATCATAACTGGAGAGTGCAGGAAGAAATAATAACTTCTATCAACCTTTTAAAGTATTTTGTCAATGGAAACAGTAGTAACATAGGAAAAAGGAAACAACCCGAGGCTTATATCCATGCCTGACATTAGACAAAAGGCCTGATTTGCTAGAAGACTTGTTTGCCAACTTCCATGTAGAAATTGCCAC